ACTCAACAGCAACACCTGGTGTGTCCATAAAACGTTAGTGAATATTGAGCAGTGGAGAGAGGAGTCCCGCATGCCTGTCAGATACAATTTGCTAGAATAGAGAAGTCAGCGAGGGGAAGCTTTGGATGAAGTCGTTCGACCCACCTTTGAACGGTTTGAGTGCCGGTTCGTAGATTCCTTCGAGGGTCTCGTCAGCGTAACTGTATTCGTAAAAGAAAGGAATTACTAACAGTCTCGCACTCATGGCGTAGTCTGAGAGAAACTCGAATGAATTTGAATTCGCAGTGAGGGTAGGAACGGTGCTGTTGGGAAGTGGAAGTGTAGGGGTGAGGAATTCGAACGAACGGAACGTCCTTGATAGCGCCAATTGAACGCCGTGGACATGCACCCTTCGTACAAGTTCGATCTCTGAGCTGCACACCCTGCCTGCACACCTCCTGGAGCTCGCCGGGCGTCATTAACTCAATGCGGGTACAGCCTGAGGTTGGAGACAGTCGTTCGTGTCTACAATTCGTCTATTAGGCGCCGCCTCGTGGCTGCCTCGACCCAACACCCTCTTTGTCAACAGTTAACAGGTCTTAAGCCTCATGTCATTGGCTCAATTCACATGAGGCTTGTTATGAGTTACCGAATCCTGCACTTTCAGGCTGTCTCATGGTAAACGCGTGGTATCAATACAAAGGTCGAGCATAGGGTATGCAACGATACTTTTGAAGCTCTGCTTTAGGCTATAATCGTGTTGTTTCCTCAAGGTACAGCTCTGTGGGTCTCAGAGTGAGTGGGGGCGCTGAGTTCACCATCTATGTGAACTGGTCGACTGGTTTTAATCCTATGCGTTGCCAGGTCTCGGCATCGTTGGGTAGATGAACGGGGTCAACGATGCTTTTGGCTTAGACGAGGTCGGTGCAATGGATATGAGGGCCTGTAGGCCCATCATGCACAGCCATTTGGCCCATTCCCTAGTAACTGAAACACTATCATAGAGATAAGCGCCGACGATCGGGGCTTCTTCAGTATTGTTCATGTTTAATATGAGCCACGTAACCTTAACGTACAGGATGTATACGGTAGAAGCTGCTGTGTGATCGATAACTCAGTTGGGTCCAGTGAATGTCAAAGACCCATTAAAACTGGTGGGGCCCGATACAACCCAAATCTGCGGCCATTCATTCCAAATGTATAGTGCGGCACATTACATAGATCATATACTAATGGTGTCCACGCGGCTGGTTTATCAGAACATGCACATCGATTACCGTTGCATCACAATTCCTCCATCTGGTTTAAACGTGGGGTACAAATAGAAGCAGCTGAACCCTGTCCAACGCATCTTCACATGAATCGCATCGACAAGTACCCGTATTCTCCTTGCATTCGTCAACTATCGTTCAAGCTGATATCTTCTCTGGACCTAGCGTTCAGCTGTCGCGCAAGGTGGTCCTACTTGGTCAAGTATACACTGCCCATACCATTTTATTCTTTTACCGTGACAAGGTACATCTTTCCAGTTCAATCAGAGCAAGATCAGAGTAGACCAGCCAAGGCACTGGAGGCACACAGTAAACACCGAGGCTCTCCGTATATACTATGCTATATTAAACGTCAGCAGAACAATCACGAAACGCGAAAGAGTTCGTAGAGACACTGCAAAGAATATCGAGTGGTGTTGGAGAACTAGTTCTGAAAGTCCGACCGCGGTTGTTTGCCAGCGGCTTCCGACCCTTTTAGGGACAAACAAAGTATGAGTCTATGACGGCTGGCTAACCGATTGCGAATTCTTTAACATCCCCATGTCATGAATTTCCTCGTTGGTCGAGTGATTATCCGAAGCGAGGTATATATATGTCCTACGCTCACTGTCTACGAGGTCTGCACAGACGAGTGAACAATGTCCCAACCTATCAAGCGCGATATTCCGTATGGTACGTGAAGTTTTTGTGCATCTTTGCCCAACCCCGCGGTTACTAACTGGCTGGTGTTTAGTCCGATTGGGCAAGTCTGGTCTTAAAGTCAGCAAGATCATCCTCGGGTGTATGAGCTATGGTTCGTCCAAGTGGCAGGACTGGGTTCTTGATGAGGAAGAGGGCATCAAACATATCAAGGCTGCGTGAGTTTTTGTTCTGACAGTGTCCCAACGAGCATGCTCCTGATCCACTCTCGCATACAACGCTGACTCTCTGGATCAGATACGACGCAGGCATCAACGCCTTCGATACTGCCAATGTACGCCTCGAAACCCTTCCTCCTCCCAACAACATGAACAGATACTAACCCCCGATGTAACAGGTGTACTCCTACGGAGAATCAGAGGTCGTACTCGGCAAAGCTATCAAGGCGCACAACTTGCCCAGGGATGAGATCGTCGTTCTGACCAAGGTGGGCAGTCTTTTGGGCTGCTGGGTTCCGTTGGTTGGTATCGGCGGCGATGGTGCCGGTAGGATCAGACGCAGGTTGGACCCACGTGTCCTGACACGCGAAGACATTCTCCTCCATTCTTCTCCAACGATACGGACATGACAAAGGACTGAACTGGCACCCTCTAGGTCTACGCAGTCCTGGGCAAAACCTTTGACGCGCCTCGTGTGCAGCCCGGGGCTGAAGCAGACGCCGCGGGCTATGTTAACCAGAGTGGGTTGAGTCGCAAGGTGCGTTTTTTTTCGCTTTATAGTTTGGGTTTCGGGTCGATAGGTTAACGGGGCCTTGAGGACTGTGGCTCCTTGGGTTGTGGGTTGAGCGTTGAGGAATGTGTAACTTGGGCTCGTCATCGACTTTCGTGTGCAATATCTTCGTTATGGCGATGCTTATTGATACCACCGATCGTTGCTGCTGCCCCTCACCCTTCATCCGCTGCGTTTCCTTGTTGATTAGCATTTTGCGGTGTGCGAGTTTGCTGGCCTCGCTGATCGTCGATCGTCGATCGGCTGTTATATCTACTATGCCTCTCGTCTGTTATACCCCCTCGTTGGCCTCCCATTTGCCGCCCTTACTCACCCTCTCTGCCAAGTCTCCCTTCTCGATCTCTCTTTCCTTACCCCTTACCAATATTTACCAACCAACAAACGCTCAACTAATCACCTTCCTTAATCTGTAGCACATATTTGACTCGGTCAAGAAGAGCTTGGAGCGGCTTCGGTTGGATTATATCGATGTTTTACAATGTGAGTTCCTCGATTCCAGCGTCGTTCTTGCCTTATCGTTACCATCGTCACTGTACCTACAACTGACGTTTGTACAGGCCACCGGTTCGACTATAACACCCCTATCGCCGAAACTGTATGTCCTTCCTTCTTTCCTTTCACTCCTAGCTCGGTGGGGTCTTTAAGTGAGGTGAAAGCTGATACGGAATGTGGTATACGTAGATGCAAGCGCTGCATGATGTCGTACAAGCTGGGTATGTACGCTACGTGGGTATGTCCAGTTGTTGGGCTTGGCAATGTGAGTGCGAGACTTTGTGGAGGTTATTTTGGGTGGCTGACTCGAATGTCTGGTTCTTTCTTGTCCTCTCTTTCATGTACCATCATTCGTGGTTCTCGATCTCTCACTCAACCGCAACCGCCTGCCCCATACCCTACCCTATCAGTCCACGCAATGCAAAGTACGTCCCTCCCTCTCCTGCCCTATAATAGAGGCACCGGAAGCTAACGTCGATGATATGAATAGACTATGCGATCAATAACCGCCTCACGCCGTTCATCTCCATTCAGAACCATTATAATCTGATTTATAGGGAAGAGGAGCGCGAGATGTTTCCGACTTTGGAGGTGAGGTTTGTTTTTGGCTGGAATGGTTGGTTGGCCTGTGGCGTTTTTCCTCCTATAACAGAGGAACATCGTGACTCACTAGTTCCCATCCTCCCGTTTATCGACTATCTTACAGAACCTGCGCTAATCGTTTGCGTTATTGTAGCACCTCGGCGTCGGATCTATCCCCTGGTCGCCGCTTGGCAGAGGATTGCTCACCCGGCCTCTGAATGTGGAGACTACGAGGGGGAATAGTGATCGGTACGTTTTCTGTGTTTGTTTTGGGTGTTTAGTCGTTATCCTGGGATTGTGGTTGGGGAATCTGAAATCCTCGTTGATGGAGTCGAGGGCTTGAGACGAGAGGGTCGTTGGCTTGAGACGCGGATGGTGCATCGTATTTGGATCTGGATACTGACGAGCTCTGTTTTGGGTTTAGGATGATCAAGAACTATCATGGCGGGGAGAGTACAGATAGGATCGTCAATGTGTGAGTCTTTGTCTTTCTTCTACCTCCTTCCTCAATCCTCCATTTCCCTCCATTGCCAATCGAGTATTAAGTAGCTAACAACGTAATACTTTTCAAGCGTCGAGAAAATAGCGAAAGCGCGCGGAATCAGCATGGCGCAAGTCGCGTTGGCGTGGGTGCTGGCCCGTCCGGGTGTTACTGCACCGATTGTTGGGACCACAAGTTTGGAGAACTTGTATGACTTGTTAGGTGAGTGGTCCAGTGTCTTCTTGGGATGGTTTTGGGCTTTTTTGGGGGCAGTGGGCCAAGGCTACCACGTAGAGATGGTTCTGGATTGGCGGACCGCGGTATACGTCTCTATGCTTGGAGGGATGTGCAAAATGAATTGAATATGAGCTGACGGTGTTTATGATTTAGGTGCTGTTCATTTGAAGCTGACGGATGAGGAGGTGCGGGAGTTGGAGGGTCCGTATGAAGCGCAGAAGGCTGTTGGGCATGTTTGAAGAATAAATGATGATGAATGTGATGCGATGAAGGAGCAAATTAACATGTTGTATCGTATCTGATTGAAGTTTGCGGAAATATGATCGCAGAGCCCATGACGGATAAGATCAACGTCCAGCGGGGGGCGGGCACGTCAAAAGGCGTGTTTAGGGTGTGGAATAGAGTTGTGCAGACGCTCCTCCCACAGGTAACACAGTAACCACAAGGCAGACAAGCGGCTTGGTATCCCAGAACATTGCCCTAGACCCCCCAAAACATATAACAACTAAAATGAAACTGCGAAGATTATACTCAGGCACGAGGAATCGAACCTCGATCTTCCATTACCACAGGTACCATTTAAACACCGCAGCCGTGGCGGGGGACGTGTTACCTTTACACCATGCCCGAAACTAGTATCCTCCATATCATTCACTAAACATAGTATGTCAGGGACTCTTTGAAAAAACACATTGACTCAAAGCCTAGGTACAAGGAATCGAACCTCGAACTTAGGGTCTGAGTTATACCACAAGGCGATTAACCTTGAGGCGCTTTCGGATATGATATCTTTGCACTATAATCGAATGTTTAGAAGTGATGAGGATGAGATAGCGATTGATAAGCCTGTGTGAGGCTGTGAGACTAGTGCGCTAAAGAATGGAGAAATGAACTTCCCATCACATACATCCCGCGAACACCGGAAACCGTGCGGGAAAGAATGCATTAACATTAATTACATTAGTCAATCGACGCTAGCCAAACCGAGCTCTACAGAGGTCCATTAACGCCCAACACCAACTCTCCATACATCCTACTCAAAATGACCCAGAGCTCGCTCTTATTCTCAGCCTCCTTCAAATCTACTTCATCGTCATTAGCCCTCAGGCGTTCCCCACCCTCACCGTGCTGGATCCTTTCAAACTCCTCCCTTCTTTTCGTCTCCCACTTGCGTAAGACGACCCGAGACTTGAGGAACACCCTAAACATCTCCACCAAGCTTTCTTCGTCGACCTGCACCTCTTCATCCCCCACACCATCCAATTCCTCGTAAACATTCTCCGCGTCATAACGAACACGCCCCTCGCCGATATTTCCGCCATCACTCGAATGCTCACTCAAACCAGGTGATCCTTCCGAAGGCTGATCGACCGAAAGTCCCAGAAAGCCCACACCCCGCGCCACATACTCTTCCAACGACTCTTCCTCCCCTCGTATGAACAGCAAACGTTCGCCAGAGTCAGTCCTGGGATTTTCTTCATCGTCCACGCCCGTATCACCCAGCACCTCTGGCTCAGAAACGTGTGGCTCTCCCAGCGGTGGTACATCAACCTGAAGCGGCATCCGAGTCCCATTCCTAAGGTCAGACTCTAACCCGGCTCCAAATCCTGTCTCATTTACAATAGCTGCTTCGTAGCTCTGATATTGCTGAAGAGTGACCTGCGCTTCATCCGTGTAGTACTGCGCTCTAACGCACGTCGCAGCACCCAGCGCAAGAGCCGTAACGATAAGTCCTAGCCCAAGCTTAGGCCTACGGAAAGCTGTCGTGGGTCCAGTTTGCATGATGTGGTGGGTGTTTGTGCCCCGACCTGGCGTCGGAAGTGACACATATATACATAAGTACGGTCTACATATATACCCTTTGAGCGCCCGTTCATCAAGGATTCCATAAGATGCGACGGGGCGCGGACCCATGAGTCATGGCGCACATACCGGCGAGGTACACACCGAAACGGTGGTGTTACCGAATATCCGATGGGAGACTATATAGTACATACGATGAACATAGCATAGCATAGGATTCATGCAAACAATCTCGGTTGAAATGCGAAATTTATCCAGTTGTTGCCCTCCCTCGTGGAGCATTTCTATGCTATAGTCGAGCCCAGTACCTACAAGGCATGCATCTCTACCCAACTTGGCAGGTGAGCACCCGGGTGATTGATTTTTAGAGTCCAAGTAAAACCTACAGAGGCCCATTAACGCCCAACACCAAGTTTCCGTACGTCCTGCTCAGCGTCGTCCACAGCTGGCTCTTCTCTTCAGCCTCTCTGAGTTCCTCCTCATCAGCACTGCTCTCCCTACCGCCACTCTCACGCGCTTGCCCTCTAATTTCCTCTCTTCTCCTCTCCCACCTGTCCAATACAATCCGAGATTTTAGGAACATCGTATACACCTCCACCAAGCTCCCCTCATTCACTTCCACATCCCCGCTATCCACGCTTTCCAATTCCTCATATACACTCACGGGGTCAAAGCTATAACTCTCCATAGCCCCAGCTGAAAGTCCCACAAACTGCAATCCACGCGCAACATACTCCTCCACCGACTCTTCCTCCCGACGTACAAACAGCAAGCTTTCAACCTCCAACTTGGAATCGACGTCCTCCATAGCCCGGTCGTACCACCCCACATCACCCTCGAACAGTCCACGCACTAATGACTCGGCGTCCGAATCAGAATCGTCCGGTACTCTATGCACCGGTGGAACCTTGAGGTCAACAAGAGGTACCCGAGCCCCAGACTCAGATACCCCCACGAATCCGGTGCCATTCGTCCCGGACACTTCATCGTAATCCAGAGGTTGTTGAAGAGGGGCTTGAGCTTCGTCCGATTCCGAGTAGTACTGTGCGCCCACGCGCGTCGTCGCACCCAGCGCAATGACGGTGATGATAAGTTTAGAGATTAAACTGGCCCTTTTAGTTCGCATGATGGTGGGGTGTTGCCGAATGTCGGAGGCACACATTTAAAGCATCATGTCCATATTTAAGTACCCAAGTACCCGCTCATCAAGGATACCAAAACATGCGATGCCAGGAGCACGCCAAGATGATATCAGGTCCATAAACTACCTGACAGGCCATCTCGTTACCAAATATGCGATGGGAAACTAAACCTAGCACAGGATTCATGCAAAAGATCTTGGCTCATGTGTATCATCGCCCCCAATGCAATGTTTCACAAGACTCAGATTGGTCGCTTAGGATTATGTAGTCACGCGTTGCTACTCAACTCCAAGTTGGCATCGTCTAACCCGAGTCACCAAATCATGGCTTCTCTTGTTGCTATCTCGAAAGACAACGTTGAAAGGGTTCGAGGGGTTGTAACCTCTTTCCAAGAGTTTCAGAGACCGTAGATACAACGTTGCTCATCATACCTCGAGCTTCCACATATAACGACCTTAAGCTACGCTACTAGAGCAATGGTACATGTTCTTTAGCCACTCCGTGCAAGAGAAAATATTCCAGTCCGAGGAGGCTAACAGCACAATTAGAAACTCTGACAGTCGAAGGTGGAGGTGGAACTAATATCCAGTTCTCGCGATTTACCATGGATTCCCGATCATATAAAAGCAAATTAAGGATGACCGGGAAAAGATAGTCATTACAGTGGTGGGCGTCACAAATACATACAAGAGACTTAGATAAAGGGAATATAATGATAATAGAGCAATACAGACAAATTAGCGACTAACCACGACTGAACGTCCCTCCTCACTGCTCAGTTCTTCTTCTTCCTCAAAGCAAGCAACGCATCCTTCCTCGCAGCCGCGCTCTTCCTACTTGGCCTACCCTGCCTCAAGAGCGCGCCAACGATGCGCTTCATATACTCTTTCCTCTCCGCCATCTTCGTCTTCGCCAGAGCTTCCTTCTTCGAGTTCTTTGCGCCCCTGGCACGCTTGTGCCTCGCTGACCAGAGCTTGTAGGACAACCGCGTTTTGTTGTAGGTGATCATCAGCTTCTCAATAGAGTTGCAGCTGAACCTACTCTTGTCGAAGAATAGGCTGGTGGGAGGCTTGGTGGATGTGGTGCCGGCCGAAGCGGTGGGAGCAGCAGCAGCGCTGGAGGTGGCACTGGCCGTCCGGGCCTCAACTTCAACCTCCTCGCGCGCTGAGACATCTTCCACTTGGTCAACCTCGAGCTCCCTCGAAAGCAAATCTTCATCGTCAACATCGCGTCCAAACAGATCCTCGTTCTCAGACATCTCCCGCATGAACTGCTCGACGGCATCGTCAAGGTCCCTCCCGAACAAGTCCTCCTCGTCGAACTCTCTCCCCAACACATCCAGGGCCTCCTCGCTCAACCCAACTTCCCTCCCAAATAACTCATCATCTTCAATGAAGTCGCGCGCGATCTGCTCTGCGAGCTCATCAACATTAAATTCCCTTCCCAACACTTCTTCTTCTTCATCACGCGACGCCAGCTCCTCGACGTCGCCAAAGTCAAAGTCACGCCCGAGCAGACTGTCCTCGTCGTCAAAGTCCCTGCTGAACAGATCCTCTTCCGCATCGTACAGATCGCGCGCCGAGAGGTCTTCTAGTGCCTCTTGGCCGTCAAATCCGCGTACAGCAGACTCTCCGTCAAAGCTGAACGCGCCGCCCACCGCACGTGCATCAAACTCTTCGTTATCGGTCGCGAGCCCGATCGAGACGACCGCCCGGGCGCTGAGAAGCGCGAGAAGCAGGTATTGTGGTGTAAGACGCATCGCAGGTTATCAAAGAATGTGGTAGGACTCTGGTAGCGAGTATGTAGATGCACTACTTAGAAGGGTATCAGGCGGAAGAGGTGGTGGTGTGATGACAAGCAGTTTCAGCTTCGTATTTATGCCATTGAGCGCACAGGTTGGTTTCCATCAAAGTTTGATCGTGATGGCGGGTGCTTAGGCATCTTTCGGAGTCATCGCCCCCGCTCAATACCCCATGATGAGGTTGCATCTCTCCCTGCCCTGGTCGAGAGGCAAATGGATCCGGAATGAAAGAATGAATAAAGGTGTCTATGGGCAGTGCCACATCGTCTATATATTACAGATGCTGCATAAGGTCGTCCTCGCCATTTGCGCCGATGGACGCACACAACGTCATTAGTAATAGCTTGTGGATATTTCTCTAGGCGGGATCTAGGCCACATTAACAGTACAGTCTGTGTCAGGATGTTTTCAGCTCTGATGCCCCGCTGTATATTACTCGCTTGGCAGCATACACAAGAGCATATTTGAGTTACAACTGTAACGCCGTAGTCTTCACTCGAACAGAGCGACAAACACACGACTTTGGAACGACGTCTATTGACTCGCGTGCGATATGAACGACGAGGGTAAACAATAAAGAGAACAGACACTGATGCGCGGCCTTACACCAATACGGACGTATAGAAGCAAAGAACGATTCGAATACAGGGAATCGAACCCCGATCTCAGACCAGTCCCTTGAAGCATTCAGCCCGTTAGCACCGCGCGTGTTACCTTTACACCATACCCGAAAGCCGGAACGCTTTCTCATTTTCTGGTGAGCTTAAGACTACAGAGTAGTATACCCAGCTCAAACAATCCCGAGTAAGCAAGCGCAGGCAAGCGCCCGCCCGATCGCGCGATACGGTCTGACCTTCTACTATACAACAGAGCCCTTTGTTATTATTGCAGCTTAAAATGCCTCCACCTTCGACTTCAATAACAGACAACACAACTACCAAGGGCGCATGTATACCAGTGTATACCACATCTACGGAGTGCTAACTCACCTCCGATGTCATCGCATGCATAATTGGTCACGAGTTTACGTTTATACACTTCATCGATTTGGAGCTTTGTGGGCGTTTTCTGTACTCGGGAATGGTGTAAAGGTCAGCATGTCCGCCTCTCAAGCTTCAGCCGAGAATCGCGGTAGATCGGGGTTCGATTCCTCGTTCCCGGACAATCAAGTACTAGTACTACCGCTGTATGTGCGGATACCGTTGGTCTGTTATTTTGCTGAGACTGGACTCACTCTGGTCGTCTGTATAAACCTCATGGCCAGATCCGAGATAGGGCTCGTCGGAGTCCAAGATTTTTATGCACAAAAGCGCTGAGATAGACGTACACCCTGTCCAGGCGCATACAGCGCTGAAAGTGTCTGAGTGGTTGCTCAAGTCCCAGAATGATCTTCCGCCAGCTGTTGTACGATTGTTACACTGACTGAACAACGACCCTCCAGAGACTTTATGCTAAGCTCATTGCTAATCTGTGCAGTCTACTTTTAGGAATGCTTGTTGAGCGTATTCCCTCTTAGCAATCTATATACTCTTAAAAACTACACAAGGAAGTAAGATGCATTCCGTCTAAATGCTCCCTGTGATTTCTTGGTGGTAATACGTCATTAGATGTCTTCCTCGCAGCTGACCATAATCGTCCCAACTGTTGAGACCACGTTTTATGAGTTCCTCGCATTCTTTCGCGTATGTGCACGCCGCACGGGCGCCTACTTCATGTGACCCACCTCGTGGGAACCACTGATGCTTATCAGCTGTGCGGACCCACAAGAGCGATAAAACCTTGCTGTTGCATCCTCCACGATATAGGAGAACACCGTCCGGTATATGGCAGACTCATCCACTCCTGGTAGCGAAAGTCCTCGCCTGAATGACCTCTTCTGTTGGGAGAATATCTGGCTGAAGGTTCGACACATATCATTCTTTCATATCAAACTCATTCATCATGAGCCGGAAACGAACGCGCTTTCCATCTTACATCTTGCAGGTTGAAAACGAGTTCTTCTGCGTTCCTCGTCGTGGATTTACGGCCTTTCCGCACTCAAAGTTCGTTGCGGAATTTCTCGCCCCGGCATCAGTCAACGAAGGAGAGGCTGTTGTCCACGACGGACGCAGCAAGGAGAATGCCATTCATCTCTTTGGATACGCCAAGCAAGATTTCGAAGCTCTTCTGAAGGTTATGTACCCAATGTAAGTCTCGAACTAGTATAGCTCCCGCTACCGTTGAATAATGGACTACTCCTTTTCCTAGTCAGACGTACTCGATTGGCAACGACAATCTCATTGACCTCAACCAGGATCAGTGGATCGGCGTTCTGAAACTGTCCACGCTCTGGCGAATGACTCTGGTTTGTCAACCTTACTCGTATGCTTGGAACGATGTCTCACAACGGTGGATGCATGCAGATACGGCAGTACGCAATCGCTAAGCTCTCAGTAGTCACACAAGCAGCTCCAGCGGCCGAAAAAGTTCAGCTAGCGCAAGCGTACAAGGTTCTTCAATGGATGGAGCAGGGTATCGCAAAACTGGCGAGCTCGTCTGCATCCGTCGAGGAGCTTGAGCCATTGGGATGGAAGGTTACTGCACTGGTTCTGGCAGTCAGGGACTCGGCACGTCAGAGTGTCTCGCCTCAGCCTGGCAGCTTCAGATTGGACAGCATAAAATGCGGCTTCTGCACCAGCAATACTCCCTTAATCCCATTCTCGGACTCAGACCAATTCTTCTGTCCGTGTGGGATCGCATTGTCCCCCGAGTCCCAGGTCTCAATCCAGCAATCAACAAGTGATGTCGGCCGAGCTGAAGCGTCTACTCGTACAGCGCTCTCCTCGATATGGTGCCATCAGCTAACGATCGAAACAGATGGGTGGGGTCCGCCGCATAATACGACGCAGCATGTGGTACTGGCCGGGCCGAGTTCGAAAAAGAGTTCGTTGAAGGATATATTTACTTGTTCATGTTGTGGAGAGGTCACAAGACGGAAAGATACCGTCAGAGTGCTTGAAGGTCACAAATCTGGGGTGAAATCGACAGCAGAGTTGATCCAGAAGTACTTCGGGGAAGAATTCCAACTCGAATAACGTATTATCTTTGACTGTCGCACCATTGATGCATGGCTTTAAAGTTATGGACTCGAATCATGTATATAGTATCGATAAGGGATCGAAACAAAGCGACGTCACAGTCCAGTCACTGAGAATCTGATCTTCCTATTTAATTCTGCAAGTATTAAATTTAAGTCGATGGAAAGAATCGATGTGGGGCCTGGGCTGATGATCGCCAATCTACATTATCACGACTGACATTGCCCATTCCTGCTGGATACTCTAATATGCCGCCTAACCATTGGCTCGGTTGGGAGGTCAGGTCGCACAAAAACAGGGATGAGGCCACTGTTTACAAAGTCCCCTCAATTTCAGATAACCTCTTGCTTACCAGAAAGTCACAGCAGCTACGATTAATAATTGACATGTTGCTCACGTACTGTAACTTGAATTAAGCAAGCACCACACATTGGCGGCTAAGAAGAGTGGAAAGGAACATGACTCTTCATACAGAAGACGTCTCCGAAAGACTTCGACGCCAGATCTTTGGCTTCTGTTGGCTTCGCCGTGAAGGTCAGAATCTTGACCACATACTTCATCTCTTCGGCTTTCGGATGGTGATTAAAGGTTTCACCCCCTATAGTGGTCGGTCCCATCCATTCCCACTCCTTGATCCCTTTCTCCTGGTCAAGCATGAGGTACTCGTCATCCAATCTCTTCCACCGCCACAGAGCTTTCTCGTCGATCACTCGCTTCACCTGTTCATCAAGATCTTTCCTCTTCGAATCTATTGTTTCCAGCTCAAGGATGAGCGTGTTGCAGCTTTCTGGCAAGTAATAGTCGACAAGGGAAGGGCGAATAGTAAGGTCGAGCGCGGTGTCATTCTCCCACCACCACCAGTCCGTGTAGCGGATTGTAATGTGGACCGTCTCGGGCCTGAGGCAGGGAATTCGATGGAAGAACTGAGTAATATTCTCTTTCGAGAGGGTGTACATCTGGGGGAAAATGCGGATCTTCTTGATGCGCGACCACTGCGCCCTGGAGAAGTGCACTGTGCGGTGGCTCTGAAACGGGCTATCGTGGAAGAATTTGTTGATGTAGTGCTGGATGATGAGTTTCGTTGCGGACTCGGATGTATTTTCACCAACTTGATGGGTTGGATTTGCGTCCGGGACAACAGCTTCGTCAACACCCCCGGGGACAGGCCCATCATTCGGCTCGACTGATGCATATTGATGCGAGCTCTGTAAATCTCCTCCCATAATATAGTCTCTGCCCCCTTCCTCTTCCCAGTCGTCCTCAAAACCCTCTTCGTCCCACTCGTCATCATCCCCATCATCGTCATCCATCATTAGGTGGTCTGGTGGCCTGTTTTCTGGAGGTCTACGCGAGAAATCCCCCCACCAAAACGCCTCCTCGTCATTCCCAGTCCCTGCTTGAAAAATCAAATCCCTCGCTTCGACGTACACGAGCTTGCAGGTACGCAGAACTGCGACATCTGTCCGCTTCCTGCAAGTATATCCTGGACGGCGGTAGTAAGATTGAGCATCCCATGGCGCGTCGAGGTCCTCATAGGCGGATAAGGCATATGAAAAGATGTACCGACGTATTTCGGGAGGAAAGCTGATGTAAAGGGGACAGGCGCTCTGTGGGTTCATTGCGGAAAAGCTGATCGCGTCGAGAGCGGCCGCATTGCTGTCCTTGTGAGTTGGCGGATTATTGGTCGACATGTGGCGGTATCTGAGGTTGGGAGTGAAGTGGGATTGAATGAGCGGCTGGTCAAGTCTGAATGAGCCATTTTATCTGACAATGTGCTGTGCATTGAATTCTCGGAATATGACTCGCATCATGTTTCATCGCCATGATGTGTAAGATCTTCGGACTATGGTGCAGGTCACTTAGAGACCGCTACTTTGGAACAAGCGTGATGGGGACATGGGATAAAACCCAATCCCTTATTCGTCTAACAGAAATGAAGGAATTGGCCGGGCGCACACTTCTGTTAGACGGTTTGTCGAAATTCTCAAAACTGAAGGAGCAGAATTTTTGCCCCTCACCGATTTGGCCATCAGAT